AACGCCGATTTGTTTAATCTGCATTCCCGTTTGTGACTTCCATTCGCCGCTTTGTCTCAACACTCTCTATAATGGGATTCTAGCAAAAAGTGAACAGAGGCGGATCGAAGGAGCCAAGGATGAGCGGATCCCAAGTTCAAGGCGAGGTTCAGCTCACTGGAGGCTGGTTCGTCGAACTTTTCTCTGCCCAACTTGCGCGGAAGTCAACCTTGCCTTGCAAACATTGCCCGAGATATCGAGATGATTCACTGACTTGGAGACTATTTTACTTGATACTCGGCACGCTCGATGGCTCCACTCAGGACAAATCTACCGTTTTGATATCGAACGCTTTTTAAGGGTGCCTCAATTCAGGAGCGATATCAAACGGGGTGTCTAGCGTCAGTTAATACTGGAAGATATCAGGAAAGTAGATTTCATCGGGAAAATCTCTCATGGATCAGGTAATTTGGGAGCGTCGATCATTTTTCAACAGCATGCAGTGCCAAAGTGCCTGCCCTAGTGAAACAATTCAATTCATCCAACATGTTGCTTCGTGAAATCAAGCAAATCGACGGTATAAGTCCAGGGTGTCTACAAATCTGCCGTTCCCCCTCTCGTTCCATTTGTTCCTTGCCGTACCCCCAATACCCCGGTCCATTCCAGTTTTTAATCTTCGCACTTTATGAAAATGTAATCTTTATTCCCGTTCGTAACCCTATGAAGGCCTAAAATACGGGAATCAGAAATGGATTCTCAGTGTTGGTTTTTCGGCGATAAGATTTTTTCCGGTAAAAAGCTGAAAAACTCTAAAATAAGAGTTCAGGGGGTCTACGAAAACAGACTGACCGGAAACCAGTACTTCTTCAGTACTTTTTCAGTACATTCCGAAGAAATTCAGTACCTCCTCGACGGAAAAATTCAGTTCTTTTTCAGTACCTCCGATTGACGAAATTCGAAAAATTTCAATTTCTCGTTCAAATTGCGACAAAAATGACAAAAAATTAAAACAATTCCGGGCCTTTCAGCGGAATTTCCGCACTTTGTCAGTACTTCCGGACTGCCCCTAAAAAATGAGTACTATTTCCGGACTTGTAGACACCCTGAATCTTGATTCCCGTTCGTAACCCTATGAAGGCCTAAAATACGGGAATCAGAAATGAATTGGACGTATTTCTGTCAAACTGAACTAAGCGCCAATTTGAGTTCCTTTCGAGGAATTTAGAATGCCGGAAAGCGCGTTCGGTCCAATGGAACTGAGAGCCATGGAAAAGCATTGCGAGTATATGGACAGAATGAGCCCGACGCCCGGTTTTGCCGCCAATCCAAGCCCTTCTCTACCTTCCTCACACTATGGCGCTTAGTTCCGTTTGACAGAAATACGTCCAATTCTCATTGTTGGTTTTTCGGCGATGCGATTTATTCGGTGCAAAGCTGGAAAACTCTAGAATGGAGTTACTGCGTTTTGGCTGAGGACGGGAGAGTTGTACACGGAGAATGCGGTGCCGCGACGAGGAGGCGCCGGGGCGGCAACGCGGTGGCTTTGCGTACTATCAACGGCGTGGCCGACGGCGGGGGGCCGGGGCGGGGGGAGGAGGGGGCTGGCTTCCATTCAGAGGCCCCCTCTAGGGCGCGGCTGCGGTGAAGCGGCGATTCACCCGCGGAGGGGTGGAGGGGTCGGGCGAGGAGGGAGGCGATAGATCAATAACACTCTTCTCCCATGCGCACCGAGCCAGCCCTGCTCGACCGCGACTCGACCGCGACTCGACTCCACTGCCGCCCCGCAGTTCGGCTTCCTATGCTCACCGTCGCTTCCCTCTCCGCCAATCTTCCAAACTCACCTTCCAGTTTTAACAGGGTGTCGAGAATTTTTTAATTATGAAAAATCCTGATACTTTCCTGATTCTTCCTGATATTTTATAAAACAATCCTGATTTCTTCATTTAGAAAATTCCTGATATTTTCCTGATTTTTCTTGATATTTAATAAAAAAATCCTGATTTTTTCATTTTGAAAACTCCCGATATTTTCCTGATTTTTCTTGATATTTAATAAAAAAATCCTGATTTTTCTCGATTCCTGGTACGGTAGGCAAAAAGCAGGAAGACTTTCTCCGTTGAGGAGATTTGCGTAAGAGAAATTCCTCATAAAACGTCCGATTTTTCCGATTTTCCTGATTTCTTCCTGATCGGCCAAAATTCCTGATATTTTCCGATTTTTCCTGATACTAGAGACCCTGTTTGAGTTGTAAGAACCATGTGGCGCATCAAGCTTCATTTTAAGGGGCCAAATTGACTTTCTGCCTATATTACGGCGTATTTTGTGTAAAGTTCGACGCAAGATGTTTTAATTACAAAATTAGTAGCTGTAACTTAAAAGAGATTTCGAAAATTAACCCAACAGAAAAATTAGGATTTTTTGAGAGGAAGAGGGAGGGACACTTTTAAAAGGCCACGTTGGCGCAGAGCCTTCATTTTATAGGCGCCATGGCCGATTTCTTGGGCGCATTTGGCGCCTGTGAGTTCCGAACACTGGTCCTTAAATTTCGCCACTGCCGGCCTTCGGACGAAAGCCGGAATTTGCGCCAGAGAGAACGCTGATGAATGATAGAAAAATTTATCGGTTTGATCATAATTTCCACAAAATGCAGAAAGTCTAATGCCCTCACACATTTGGATAAAATTCTCCGACGATTGAAAAAGATATGCCATGAGGCCAAAAAGACAGAATTCGGAACAGTTTTCACGTAAAATTTGTTGTTCGGCAAATACATTCTAGAAAGGTAATAGAGCGATTAAATAATTTTCCCCCAACACTTTCGTAATTGTCCCTGATATTTCCAAGTTTTCCCAGACTTATTAAAATTCCCTGACATTCACCGGTTTCCCCTGACTGCGACAACTCTGGTTTGATGTGTTCTCAGAGTTCACAGTGAGATTTTGATCTTAGAACTAACGTTTTTAAATGCTCAATTTCTTGATTCCAATTCTCTTTAACCGCTCCAACTGATCATCTACGGAAGGAGGCAGGGAGAGCTGGTCAATAGAGGCCCCAATACATCCAAAATTCCACACTTAGGGCCTTTGATTTGCTGAACATGGCCACAATTCCCTTGTTAAAATATCTAATTACAGAGATAGTGATTTCGCAGCTGCTTAAAATATGACAAACCTCAATATGTTTGAACGATTAGTAGCTGTGTCGGAAAATTCTTGACTTTTCCTACGATTTCCCTGACTTCCTATGAATTCCCAGACTTCCTGCGAATCCCTTGACTTTTCCTTAAAATTCTCTGACATTCTGAGAACGCCCAGACTTTTCCTACGAATCCCCCGGGAAGATTTCCACCTTTTCACTCCGCTGACGACAACAGCACTACTCTCTCCGCGTTTTCGGCCAATCAGAGCGTGCATCCATCGCCGGGAGAGGAAGAAAACAACAACAGCAACAACAACGACGACGTGCCGCAACGTAAACGCACCTTGAACTTCCTCTACTCCCGTCGCGTCGGCGCACAATGGATCGAATCAACGAGAGAGGTCGGACATAAAATTTTCGACAAAAACTACAGATTTTGATGTTTATTTCGTCACATTTTAAATTTTAAGGGGTGCTTCTAGCAGCTAATTTCACGAGGAAACCAATGACACCACTTTCACAACCTCAAAGTTCGGTATGAACGGAGTTATGAGCTTTTGAAGTTTCCAAATTTTGTCCCACCTCCCCCATAGATCGTATTCGATACATCAAACGGGTGAGATTGTATCGATATCGATTGGTTCAAAACATAAACATAGCCTCAAAAGTAAATTCAGAAATCTGAGAGAACGGATCTTTTGAAACAGATTTTTTATTCTTTTGAGTACCAAATGTCAATGCAAGGTGAAATTGTCAGGAAATTTCTCATTTTCAGCTTTTCCAATTAAAATCCTTATAGTTTGGTTTGAGGTTATGTTCTATCGTTTTGAACCAAACGATACATCGAACCGTTATCGAATACGGTCTATTGGCTCGACCATTGTGCGTCGCAGCCGTCGTCGTCAGAGTCGAGAGTTTATTCATCCTCCTTCCTTATCGCCGACGTGCTTATCAGCCCGACATGCTTGTGCCCCCGCAAGGTGTCACAACCCCCCTCTCTCCTACCTGGGGCGACGGGAAAACCACAATGAAAGGGTGCGGGGGGAGGCGGGGTGGAGGAAGGGGGGGGGGCCTCCGGCGGGCGTCGAAAAAATAGGATCGGATCTCGATCGAGCGCACATGGCGCCCTGCTTTCGCACTGCCTCGAGTCGAAGAAATTGGGGAGAGAAATCAAAATTCGGGGAATATTTGAGCGTGTGCTCACACTTTCCGGGATTAACTCCGAATTTCGGAACTTAGGCAGTTTCTCGGAACTTGGCTCGGAATCTTCGAAATTCCCGGAATATCCCAGAACTTCTGACTAATTTCGGGATTTTCTCGGAATGTAGCGGTTTTTCGTCCGTTTGACCGATTATGAGATAAAATGCGATGATTTATTCGGGCGTATTCCGAAATTCGGCCCGGAACTGTTGAAACAAATCGGAATTTTTCTCGAAACTTTGGAAAATCGGAATATTTCTCGAAACTTTTGAAAATCGGAATATTTCTCGAAACTTTGGAAAATCGGAATATTTCTCGAAACTGTAGAAAATCGGAATTAATTCCGAGAACCCCCAGGGTGTCTACCAAAACGGGCAGGCCAAAAATCAGTACTTTACCGTACATTCTCAAAAAATGCAGTACCTCTTCTCCGGAAAATTCAGTACTTTTTCAGTACCTCCATTTGACGCAATTCGAAAATTTCAAAAATTTGAATTTCTCGCTCAAACTGAGACAAAAATGACCAAAAGATGAAGAAAATTCCGGACCTTGTGCGGAAATTTTACTGTTTCCGGACTTTCCTGACCTGTAGACGCCCTGTTGAAAATCTGAATTACTTCTGAGAACCCCGGAATCGTGTGGTGAAATAAAATGGGAGGACTGAACGAGAGATTGGTATTTACCTGGGTCGGCGGCTTTTAGACAGTAGTCAAGTAACTCTATCGCGACTTGGACGAAGTCCGGGCACAGCGAGAACGGCCACGGCCAATTTAGCCATTTCAGCACTACGTTCGCACCGCCGCATCCATTTCCACTGCAACATAACAAGAAACAACCACGTTAGTAAAAAGTTCAAAGCTGAAAAGCTTAGAATAATAAGACAATAAACCAAAAGTTCAAAGCTGCAAAGCTTACAATAATAAGACAATAAACCAAGGGGGAAATTCGCTTCTCGAATGCGCGCGATCGAGAGGGATGGTGCATACATGGCTCGTGACGAAAATTAAGCCAAGTACACGAATTTAATAAAATAACATAGCATTTGACTAAAATAGCCTCGTTGACGTATGACTTCGCAGACCACGCGTCGTACTTTATTATTTCTTTGGAAGACTATTCTGCCGTGCAGAAGAAAAATGCCGTATGAACCCTCAGGCGTTGACAAATTTTCTTCGGTAGATCACCAATTTTCGGGAAAATTTGTCAAGAGTTTTCCTCCAATTTTTCCGATAATTTTGTTCTCAATTTCACCAAAAGTTCCTGAAAATTTCAAAGAGAAATATTCATAACTTTATTCAAAAAAATAACTATTTCCCGGGAGGAACTCTCGAATGTTCATACGGCGTTTTCCCTTAGCACGGGAGTACGGGCAGGTGTGGATAAAATTTGCTTAATCCGACGGAAACGATAACGCGCTCCTCTATCCACCCATCCATCCATCCGGAAGGTAAACAAACTCGAGCTAAGGGAGGGGGGAGGGGGTGCCGCGGCGATGGGAAACGAGAGTCAGAGCTACTGCGACAAAAGTGAATAAAAGGCGCATCGATTGGGGCGGAGGGGAGGGCTATGGCGATCCCCCGGGGACGGGTCCTGCGCACGGCCGCCCACGGAACCAACGCCCTAGCGCGGGTCCCGGGGCTAAAAAACCACCCCTCGTCGACACCTGATGAGAGGTGTGTTGTTGAACCCGCTCGCGAGCTCCCGCGATAGCTTCCCCGCGCCGCACGCTGGGATCGAGCCACTCATAGAGGCCGCACGTGAAGACAAAAACCGAGAATGTTTAGGTCCAATTCTGCCGTGCTAAGGAAAAACGCCGTATAAGCATTCAGACGTTGCCAAGTTTCCTCCGATAAAAACCAAATTTACTGGGAAAATTGCGAATATTGTTTTCCAAAATTTTCAGACAATTTTGTACGCAACATAATCTAAAATATCTGAAAATTTCAAGGAAAAATATGCATGAATGTTGTCAAAAATACACGTTATATAAGAGGAAATTTGGCAACTCTCGAATGTTCATACGGCGTTCTTCCATAGCACGGCAGAATTCGTCACGTTTTAAAATTGAACGAGGTAAGCAATGGAACCTTTTTTATAATCTCTGAGTGTTGTATGAACGGAGTTGTCAGTTCATGAAGTGTCAGGGAGTCGAAATAAACCAGAATTGGGGACTTTTCGGGAAGTTTTTTTCAAGAAAATCGTGGCACCCCCCCCCACCCCCCGGGAATATTAAGAGAAAGGGAGCTAGTTAGAGCGTTAAAGGGCGTATTTAAAACGACTAATTTCACAAGTGAGTCATGTTGAACCGATGAAAACCTACGGAAAACCAAGCAACAGTCTTTTATTCCTGGTTATGCTGCGCCGCCGTGGCTGGCGGGAAAATTCGAAAATGCCGGTGTTTAGGACGACTTTTAAGGGACCTGAACAAGAGAATCGGAGACTTTCGGGGACACCCTTCCAAAATCGGGGACTATGGGGGATCGGTAGACACCCTGGAGTCACTCATAGAGGTTGCACATGAAATTTTCCACAAAAACTGCGAACTTTTATGTCTAATCCGTCTCATTTTAAATTTAAAGGGGTGAAGATTCTACATAAAAATTTTAGGAGAAAACCAATTGAGCCACTTTCATAACTTTAAAGTTTTGAATGAACGGAGTCATAAGTTTATTAAGTGTCCGAATTTTGTCCGACCTCTCCCATTGGCTCGATCCACTGTGCGCCGACACCACTTTCCGCGACCCCTCCCGGCCACCCGATTAAATCCCGTTTAGCGTTCACCCTTGTAACTTGTCGACGGATGGTACCGAGCGAGTTGAGGGTGAATTTAAGCCCAAAGTCAAAACGAGATTCAAAACAAGTTTCGCTAAAACTGACTTTACCAGGGAGTCTAGTTCTTATTCATTTTCGGAAATCCTGATTTCATAATTTTTCCAAATCCTGATTTTTAGCGTACCGGATCTAACATCACAAAAATAGCTCGATAAAAAAAAAAATCCGATCGGATGGCCGACTTTTCTCAAATCCTGATTTTATGACAGATTGTTTCTCCAATCCTGAAAGATCTGGAAAATCCTGATGCTAGACACCCTGATAACAATTAGAATGTTCGACGGAAAAACCGGGTCAATTATGCCAAGGAAACATTTCGGCTACTTAAGGGTTGCCACTGCGAATTTAGGATATTACCCTGATTTCCCAGACACATTTTGGTGAAATTTCCCGACGATTAAAGATTGGTTAACAAGACATAAATAAATAAAAGTAGTTTTCAGGCAAAATCAGTTGCTTGACACGTCCAACACGTTAACACGTTTTAGACGGCAATTAAAGACGGTATAACAATTTGTCCCTTACAATTTCGAATTCTGTTGGAATATCGACGCTCTCTTATCCCTACCTGTGTCACAGAGTAAACAAAACGTCAAAATACGACCACCCCTTTCTTTCCCTCTATCGGGGTGTCTACTAAAATTTAATTTTGGATTTTCCTGGTTGTCCCTAATATTTTGACTACATTTTTAATTTGGAACTATAAATTCTAGCCCGGTTAAAAAAAACGTATGTGCCATTAGTTTCCCTATGCACATAAGTGTTTTCCCAGTCAAGCCAGAATTTATAGTTCCAAATTGCAAAATGCAGTCCATTTAAGACGAGATTTCCTGATTTTTATGCGCGACGAGGTTGAAACTCATTTGATCTAACATACGCCATGGAACGAATCAAATATTGGAAAAACGCTTGGAGGGCTCAGAATTTCCCGACCTATGGCCACATTTCCTCATTTTTTCCGGTTTTCACGGAAGCATCCCAGTCACTCCCTGCTGAGGACTGATATCGGGGGGACCGGAGCTTCGAGTTGGTGCCGAGGCAAAGCGGTGCGGAGAACCCGTCGGGGGTGGGGGGTGGTTTGTGAAATCGGGGTTGGCAGCGTTCCAGCCGGCCGCGCCACGCGGTGGAGGGATGCAGGACGCTCGAGATGACGATGCATCGTGGGGGTGGCAGAGAGGCTGCTCCAGTTGCAGCGGGGGAGGATGAACCACCTGTTGTCACGTCTGTGACGCCCTTCCCCCGCGGCCAGCGCATCCCCCTCGGAAGCATCCACTGCGGAGGATTCATCCCCCTCCCGGAGTAGAGTGCTTCATTAGCGGGGGATGCGGGGTTCCGCCCGAGCTTTTATTTCCCGCCTTCCTTCGGGTTTTTCTCAGACCACCCCCTCGTTCAATCGTTCAGGGTGTCTACTGTTACCCTGACATTAAAATTATTCGCTTTCTCAATACCTTTTCCTTGCTTTTTCCTTACTACGTCGAAGATTCCTTTCTTTTCGGCGATTCTCAAACTTCCTTGCTTTTACCTAACCTTTTCCTTACCTCACACGCATTTGTAACAGTATACAAATTGGCAAGTCGGAATGATGGAATGACGAAGGGATGAACCGAAAACCACGAAGAATCGAACCTATCTCGGTTAATACTGAGAGTAGAAAGATGCCGTTTGGATGGATCTTATTATTTTTAGCTAATTTACAAGAGTCAAGCATCAAAATACGAGTCTGTGATCAGCTCAACCGGCCCATTACCGCTTTTACAGCGGCCACCCCAGTTCATCGTCGGGCTCATCGTCCGACACTGCCGTACGAACCTCCAGGCGTTGCCAAATTTCTCCCGGCAAATCACTAATTTTCAGGCAATTTTTTTAATATACGCCTACCAATTTCTCAGCTAATTTCGTTCGTAGATTGATCCAAAACTTGTGAAAATTTCAAGGAAAAATATTCATAATTTGTTCCAAAAATAAACATTTAATCACGGAAAATTTGGCAACTCTCGAACGTTCGTACGGCGTTGTTCCTGAGCACGTCCGGACAGGTGTCGCACGATCGCCGAGCGAGCGAGGGGGCACGAAACGTCGCAATGCGGTCGTCATCGGTCGTCGCGAGCGCGAGCGGCATTCCGGGCGTTCGCCCCCCCCCCCCCCCCCCCCNGGGGAGCGGATAAAATTCCAGCCGAGCTCGCGAGAGGCGTCCGACGGTGCTGCCCGGCGGGTCCGGTGCATTTCCGCCGCCGTCGTCGTCGTCGTGGCAGCCCTGCGCGGTGCCGGTGCCGCCGCCGCAGGAATGCGGTCACCAACTTCACACGAGAAAAAATCCGCCTCGTCCCGGCCGCCTTCTCCGCTTCTCGCCGTCGAGCGCACCACAGTGCGACGGCGACGCTTCGCGCTCCCGGAAAAAAGGTAGCCTGGGGTCCGGAAAAAGTTGGTCGAGTTTCCGGTTGGAAGTGCCCAAAATTCTCACCGGAAAAATGAAATCATTCAGTCTACCAGTAATGAAAAGCCAAAATTGGGGACTTTCGGGGACTTTTAGGGGTGTTCTTTCAAGAAAATCGGGGATTTTTTCCCCCGAAATGGGAAGAGAAAGGGAGGTTGGTCAAGCTTCCGGTTGGAAGTGCCCGAAATTATCACGGGGAAAATGAAATCATGGTGTCTACCGGTAATGATAAGCCAAAATTGGGGACTTTCGGGGACTTTCAGATGTGTTCTTTCAAGAAAATCGGGGATTTTTTTCCCCGAAATGGGAAGAGAAAGGGAGGTTGGTCAAGCTTCCGGTTGGAAGTGCCCGAAATTCTCACGGGAAAAATGAAAGCATGGTGTCTACCAGTAATGAAAAACCAAAATCGGGAACTTTCGGGGACTTTTAGGGGTGTTCTTTCAAGAAAATCGGGGACTTTTTTCCCCGAAATGGTAAGAAAAAGGGAGCTGGTTAGAGTACTATACGGCGTATTTTATACGACTAATTTTCCAAGTCATGTTGAACCG